GAAACTGTTTCAGTGACAAAAAATTAGGTTACAATTAAGATAATTTAAAAACGAGAATCAGGAGAATTGTATATAGATATCCTAATTAGCGAAAAACCTTAATTTCTTTATTTATTCTGTTAGCTTTTTTTCTATTATTTTTTGGTTTGGTTTCTAATCCTTGCTCGGAACATATGTAGGTATTCGAAAAGGAAGAAGGATAGCAAATAGCAACTTGGAGGCTTAGTCGACTATTCGACGTCGAACAGGTGTATCTTCGCTACGGTATAAGAGACTTATGTATGCATTCTGCATACCCCTGATTAGAGAGATACGTTAAACATTACGGCCAATATCTATAAAGTCGAAATATGGCAATGGAGCCCATTTGCGTTACCGAGCTTTGTGCGGTCATCGCACGGGCCGTACAATGAGGCAGTATACACTGTCTCATAAAATGAACAATGCATTGCACTCGTATTATCTCGACATCGCATAATTTCGCCATTGAATAATTTGACACCAGTTCACACTGACTATCGAGTCGCTTCGTGAATCTGTTAAAAGATTATGTCGGGACAATCTTGATAAGATTCACTGATTTCTATAAAAATATAATCGTTTGCAAAATTGCAAGAATTCTGAGATAATAAACAGAGGAGAACGTTTATCGTATTAACTAATTAATTCTTAACTATAAATATGGAGTTTTTGGGATTGTTTTTGTTATTTATTTTGTAATTTTTAGAAATTATGTTTTTTTTTCAAGGAAAATAAATAACATTTGATTTTATATGCACAATTAATGTTGAAAAATATAAGAAAACATAGCAGCAAGCACGTGTACAGAATGCAATCAACTTCTTCTCTCTCTTTTATATCTATAATAAAAATAGAATCTAGTTGCTAAGGAGTTGATATTTTACATCCATTAGTGTGTAATATAATACAGATAAGAGTTATAAAATACACGTTCTTCAATCTAATCTCAAACGCAACTCAAATCAATCGAATTTGTCGATGATGATTTGACATTTACTTAGATCATTCCGTTTTAGTATTAATTACGTTAAATCGTTAAAAAATCGTTATATCGATTGACGTCAAAAGTCGGAGTTCTTGTTGTGCTTCGTTTATGCATACGTAATGTCAAGACACTTCAGAACCGACCACTGGTGTTTCACAATGTCCTACCGTGAGTACTGATTTACTTCCGACTTAGATAGTACGGGACTGAGACACGACTGTACTTTCGCGATTAATAAGGCAGATAGCGGAAAGTGAAGTAATTCAGCCGTTGTGGAAATACGTGACGGGTAAGCGTCAGCATGTAGTTCCTGAATACTACTGACTTGGATAACATATTTCCGGGAACATTATTATCTAAGATCAATGTTATTTATTTGACTGCTGCTTTTTACGCTACTTACCGGCGGATCTAAGGTCGCAAGGGCACGGAATTAATTGCTTAGGAATTGATATGATCTTTAAGTACATATAATAATTAGCGATAGTGTGCGATAAAAATTCAAGTTATGATATTGTTGGGTAGTTTAAAATGCATCATAAATATATATTGTACAACGAATACAGAATTAAACATAGATATTATCTAATCCATATATAAATTTATGATCCATATATAAATTTAATTCTTGTTAATTATCATGTAAAAAGAAAATAAATAATAGTGCGATAAGTTGTATACTTAATTTAGACACTTATGCAATATTATGACTGCATTATTGTATTTAAATGAAAACTGTGTTTTTTTAGCGATTATCATCAGAGAAATCGGGACAGAACTTTATAGAGCGGAAATCGTGATTAATGCTGCATAATCGAAATTAATGTCGTGTCAGATATGCTAACAACCCGATCTTGATACGATCGAATCCGATACGACCAAGTATCTTAGATGGAAAAGTAAATGTTAACACATACGGTTCAAATACAAGTAAAAGTTTAAGACTGCACAGAAACTTTCCTCTGGGTTCTCGCGTGACCCGGCTTACTTCGAAGAGCTCACGCTCGCCTTAGACCTTAAGCGGCACATATAAGAACAAAGTTCTATCGACACGTTCCACTTCTGATCCCTCGATAGAAAACGACTTGACTACCTCGTATCTTTTTCGGGAGTCTACTGGCGAAACTACATATTATACCTAATGCGCTGGTATTATTTTTACAAATAATTTCTGAGTGATTCTCTATTCGTAACTGGAATCATCAGTAATTACGGATGGCTTATTCATAGATTTAACGCGTTCAGCAAATTAATCACGCTCTAGAAATTCACCTCCCCTATGATATAATATGTAAATTGTTCTGACGGATAATTCCAATCAGATACGGATCTAGTTAGCGATAAATGCGGAAACCTGCAGCTGATAATTGATACGTTGCTGCACTTCAGTCGCTTTGTAAAATGTATGCATCGACAAATCATAGGAAAGTGAATCGCGTCCGATCATTTTGTCTCGTTCATCAATGCGTTACGGTTTCCGCCGCGACGTTAATTATGTAATTCGCGAGAATTACGGTAGGCCAGTAGAGTCTCTGTTTTAACACGGTCTACCGTTCTCACATACCATCATGACGATCCTGTTAAAAGACCGCGCGTCGTAAGAAGAAGCGGATCCTTCCCTTTCCTCTCCCCCCGTAAACGAAGATCGAAGCGCGAAATTATCGGAAGAAAATTTTCATCGTAAACCTCCGCTGTAAACCGCAAACTCGGATGGAATGCACTTGCGCGATCCCACTTATCCTGGTATGGTGAATGGAGTTGCCGCTCGTTACATCAATTACGGCATCTTCTTTTACTCTCGAGAATATTGCGCGCGCGCGCGAGCGCGCCCTCGAAAAGCCGCTCCGTTGTTCGTAACGCGTTTCGAAAGGAAACTTAGTAACCGCGAGCGAAAAAATTCGATGAATGGTTTGCCGCCATGTAAGTGTATCTACGTATGGTATCGGATAGGGCTTTCTTTCGGCCGCGGGAATTCGCGAGATGGCCTTTTCTTGCTCCGCTCTATACGTTCTAGCGTTTACACCGAACGATGCCGAAAACTCGTTTGCCTCGATTTAGAGATTCCACGACGATTTTAAGCCATATATACTTTTACAAGCGAGAAATCTATTAAATTTTAATTGCAATTCTCGCCGGACAAGTTTCCTTGCAATCTTGTTTGCTAGCTTATTTTTCTACGGGAAAATCGTAACCTCCAGGGCCACCCGAGATAACAGACTACAAGAGTCTGGCGTGAGATTAAAATATGTGAATGCATGACTGTTGCATGTGCGGGAGATTTTTGCACACGTGAGACAGTTGCACGAACGACGCTCCAGGCGATAGTCTAATTTGAGTGCGAGGTGACTACACGATCTAAAGCGAGGCTTGCGAACACGCGAGATCCTTTGCCACACGGAACCGCGGCAGCTTGTTCAATCCTTTCCATCTCGATTTTCGGACTTTTGTCCACTTACATTCGCTCGAAATCATGGACACGTACGTTATCCGCCGCGAACGTGAGCGCAATATCTTTCTCATGTCACGTTGGGAAACGTGTAACGATTGCCTTAGCACGAAAGAATTAGAAGAGCCCGTGAAATGGAGACTGTTAGCATTACTCAGCTCGTAATATCCCGTAAATACACGTGGAATAATTCATAATTGAATAGAGAAGAAGATACAGTTATTACACGGCCGCGATTGTTTTTACAATTCCCGCAACGTGTACGGGATCTTTTAACGTACGTTCCCGGATCTTTAGCGCGAATCATGCGCCTCTTTTTCACAAGTTATTGTAGGATTATGAAAGAAGGAGACATTGTGCTTTGCGCGTACGTTGATGAGAACAGTCGCGCGTGTTCTTAATTTTCTTTTTAATTAGATTATTATAGAAGATATATAAATAAATAAAAAATGAGCATGTGAGCTCTCGCTATCCTCCTACGTTTTATCCATAGACGTATGTGAGTTTCATGTTCTTACTCTTATTTTTATTATTCTTGAATTAATATCTTGTTTCCACTTTTCCTCAAACGCTTATCGCATTATCGCTTGTGTGCCTATACGAAAATACGTATAATGTCTGAATGCACGCGATGTATACGCGTGAGTGTCCATGGTGTGTCGAGCCCGGGCTCGTAGATAGGTCGCCAAGCCCAAATGACTGCGTGGGATCAGTCATCCCTGCGGGAGCACTCAAGTTTGGGTGAGAGGCGACGGCAGAGAGTCCTATCCTGAATGCGGGATGAGACTCAAGAGCGCGACTACGACGTATACGCGAGATCATGCGAAGCCGATAACATTGTTTCCTTTCGTTCGGAATTTTATTCACGCTGGCACACGGCCTTATTACACGCGCGGCGCATTTGCATAAGACCTCACAGAGCCGCCCGCGCGCTATCGATCCCGCTGGTCCTCGCGCGAGAGACTCTTCCGGCGTCTTCGCACGTGAGAGAGGATACGCCCCCATTAAGCTTCTGTCCGTATCTTGTGCACCGTTCCGCTAAATTTCCAACCCGTATTCCCTTCCGCATCGATAATCGCTCCGGAATATCGGAGATTAGCATATCGCACGTTCATCCGAAGTGAGTAGCCTTTGCTCATCGAAAATGTAAAACGCATGTGAAATATGTTAATTGTGAAAGTATATATATATATATAAATTATTACGTAATTTGAAACATTTTCAAGTAAGAATCAAGGTTTTATCCCATCTTGATCTTTCTCGAATTACTTCCAAGATTCAAAAGTAACTTAACGATGATGGAAAAAAGTTTAATTAAGGAAAGTTTTATTTTATCTGCAGCAATTCTTCAGAGCTAAAAGATTATGCAACGCGCGTTTAAAGACGTCACTTGTTATCAGTTCTGCGCTAAAACGGGTTGCATAATTCGCGACCGCGAGTTTATGGCAAAAAGTGTTTCGTGCTTCACGATGTTTCAGTAAAGAGGCTGCTACTTAAAGCTTAAAGATCAAAAGATGGCAGTTAAAAGCATGGCTTATGAATATAATCTCTCTAGAGATTGCTCTCATGACGTGCTGATTACGCGCGAGTCTCTTCACGATCTAGCAATTTACGATTTGCCCAATTACATGCGCATTGTAATTGAAATATTAATAATATTGCAGTTAATTTTTATATAGTGATATTGTCTTTTCTTTTTAGACAACAACAATGACGCGCTGGTTTTGGTGTTTGCTGTGCGTGATTTTACATCTTCGGGGCGTCCATTCTAAAGTCGGTAAGTAATCACTGCAATTAATTGCTTATTTTTCTTATTACTGCTGAAAATATTTTTTAACTTCTTGCAATTTGAAACTATTTTTCGCAAATAAACGAAAATCAAGTATTTCGTTCTCAATTTCATTTAATCGACTGGTCTAATATGAATCAAAGACTTTTTATTATTTAAAGAATTTTTGGAAGAATTTATGGAAATGTTAAAAATATAGTTTACCGATTATAATCAGATTTAAATATTTGAAGAATTATGCGATAAGCTGCCTCAAAATATTATGTCGCATCGAACATAGAATAGCAAAGGGTTAATGACGTAACCGAAAATTGTTTCTAAAAATTCTACAAAGATGTCGGCTCGAAGAAACGTTCCCTCGCGGCTGGCGAGAAAGAGCAAGCGGAAATAAAATGAAGTAAAACGACTCGTGTGTAAAAGTCAATCACGGTCGGACCGTGTGGCTTCCCACACGCGTAAATCTATCTCAGCTGATTGCCAATTACTTATGTCACGGTTGATGGTGCAAGCTCTGTTTTATCGTTGTCGCTGGGCATAAACGCGCGTGCGGATCGACGGCACGTGCGGAGGTGTGAGCTCTCTACCCCGATGGCTTTTAACTGTCGTACCGCGCGAGAGCGATCTACATCCTGTATTATATCAATACGTCGAATCGCGAGCCCGCATTATTCATGCTTCTCAACCGCATCTGATTTACCGCCGTTACGTAATTAAGCTTTAATCATCCGCGCGTCTCGCGAGTACGTCGACGCAACTCTCGTTTCTTACGCTCCGACTTCCCTTATTTTTTTCACTTTACGATCGTAAAATGAAAGAAGAATATTAAATGCAAGCTTTACGGATAATCCACGGAGGAATCGATAAACTCGGCGTAAGCCGTGGCGAGCGCAACGAACGGCTACATATATGTAGATAGAGAGAAGGTGTGCGCGCGCGATAGAGAATGGTGTGTAGACGGCTTAGCGGGATAAAATGTACATTCCGACGCCGATAATTCGCGTTGTCCGTAGACGAGAGATATAGGCGCGGTTCTCTCGCGGCGTTCTAAAGCGACGGTTTAACGCGAAATGAAGAAACGTGATTCATCGCGGACCGAAGGTGGTACTTTATGCGCGTTTGGCAACGTGAAAAGCCTATACCTACTAATTAGCGAACGATCGCTTCCTGCATTGTCCTATACGTCTGTTCGGATAATAGGTCCATTTTTTCTGGAAAATGGTAAGCTTACGCTTTTTACATCACTCGTGTAAAATGTAATAGTCACGTATCCGCGCACTTTAAATATTATTTTATTCCAGATGTTACATTTTACCGTTCTATATTAAGCGAGTCAGCTGTTAACTTCCATTTTAGTTTACACTTTACAGATTGTTCCCCTTTTACGTAAGGCGATACCCACATACGGCCTCGCGGAAATCCAGATGGTGCGAAACTTTTTCCAATAAGTGCGCACACACCAGAGTAGAATTTTCTCAGTAATGGATTTGGCATTAAATTGAGAAGAAGAAAAAAAAGTTTCCGACCGACGGGGGCACCGCCTGTGACTTTCAGTATCGATTCCCACGACCGAACTTGATCGTGTATATATACACGGGTTGCTTTATAGCCATCAAGCTATCGTTAATGGCACGCTGCCAGATATCAATTTTTATTTCAATGCGTATTACGTTGTACGTTCGTGATTTAAGCGACTGCTTGCAGAAGTTTTGACTAAACAATGCTCTGAATTCAGCTTGAAAGCCAATAATCTGCGTGTAAGGAAACGTCGCTGGCAAATTACACGAGATCGTGAACTGCGGCAAAGGTGTGTTTTAGATGCGATTGCCTGTTGGTTAATGGGTCACTTAGAACCTTTGTAGAACAGCTATAGAGGATACGTTGTTCGCGGGCGGATGGGAAATATGGGTCGCAATCAACACGATGTCTTTCGTTCTCTTGCAGTATGCACTTTCTAATGCCGCGATCACTTTCTATGCGGGAAGAAATGATCGGGGTTCCCTGGTAGTGGCCTGCTGTCACGAAAGATTTACGCGAGGGGAGGGGGGACTTTACGAGGGCTCGGCAGGGAATGTTGCGCGTGACTAGCCAGACGATGACGAATGTTCGTGTGTAAATGGCTCGATTTCGCAATGTGACGAACGACGATATGCCAAAACATGTGATATTGAGCAAAGAGATCGTGTGAACTATTAAGGTGTTATCTATCCAAATTTTGGATTTAAGTTGATTAAATACGTTGATTAATTGTAACTGTTATAAATGCTATCTTCTATGTAAATAATGATATAAAGGTCAAAACCTGACATGAATACTAAGTATTTTAGTGTAATTGATATATAAAACTGATATAAATTTTGAGACGATCTATATTAAAATTTGGCGCACTTCTATGATAAAATATAATATTACATAGTTTTATTTTATTTTAAATAATATGTGTAAAATTAAACTATTAATATGAATTCGGCAATAAAAACTTAAATTAAAATTAACTTATTAGAAATAAATTAAATTTATAATTGCTTGTGTTATTTTAAATAAATTAATTTAAATATATTATACATATCTATAATTGTGAAATATTATTTTCTTTCTTTCTATTCTTTATATTGAAAAAATTTGAGTAAAACCATTTCGATTAAAAACTTTTTAAATTAAATTGAAGAAGATTGTTGTTTATTTCGTCGCATAGCGATTCCAAAAATCGCTAGTCAAGAACTTTTGCAATCTTTGCCAACTCAGGCCAGATTGGACTTATCTTTTGCCGCTCTATATCCATCTTGGCTTCCAGCCAGAGTACGTACGAAAGGAGAAAGACTCTTTCTACTGCTGATTTTATCACCGGCAGATGAGCGTAAAAGTTGCAGGAATAAAATTATAAACAATTCATGTTCCTAGCTATTATTATTCTGTTGCGTAATAACATTTAGATGTGCAAGTAAATGACCAAATCGATCAATAATACGTCGATAATAACAAGCTTCATTCTCTTAGCTCTGTTTGTGTGCATTCTCGCATGCACAATGGATCGATAGATGGTTACACGTGTTCTAGGATTAAACATTTATATTACTTTGTCCTATAGCCCATCCATTTCGAGGCAATGGATCTGTGGAATTTTATATCTAAATGTAATATTCACAGATCCATTATCTTTATACCTTAAGCTAAAAGAGAAATGCACTCACCGATACGACACTCCTGATGTTTGACGAACTTAATGTTATACGTCTTTCAAGCCTCTCATGTTTCCTTGCACACTCACGAGGCAATATCGCGATCGACCGCAAAACTAATTATCCACGTATTCCGTTATGTAAGTCACACGAAACAATATTAGTACGCGAAACAACATTCGCGTGTACTACACTGTGCTCTGCGCAAAGCGATAGAGACAAATTACTTTCAAATCGAATAATCCGTGACGCTGGGTCGCATTTGAACTCGAGCATTCTTTAAGAAATAATCATCGTCCGATAAGCAAGTCATTGAGCAAGACGCAAGACGAAACGTAATTGATTTAAAATTCAGACACTTCCCTCGTTTCGATCCTTACGATTAAATCGTGTGGGGGGAGGAGGGACATTTCGATCAGCTTATACAAGTCAGATGCATTTGCTTTGAAATATTAAAGATTGATACAATTGTGAAATTATATTTAGAAAATTGGTCAAATTGAAATATAATTTGATGAAAACTAAATAAATATCTGAGCCGATTATACAGCCAGATCACGCCGTATTACTTTTTAATTGCAAATCATTTAATAATAAGTAATTATTTTCTCCAGTAATGAGTAATAAAATAGATTATGAAATATTCACCTAAGGGTTATTTTGCCGTTGCCTTATGACCTTCTTGTATACTCTCTTTTTATTCTTCATTGCTGCTTCTCGTGGCATTCATATATATCTGAAAATATCGCGAAAGCACGTTACAATTAAGCTCGCGTTAATATAACGATCACTAGAATATAACGATCGCGTGGCACTTTACACGACATTTTCTATGTCGCACGTGACGCTTGTGTGATGTGTGATTATGTTGCGACAGCAGAAAAATAGATCCGCATCCTACATTACAATTCGATATTCATGACGTTTCGCAAATGAAACGTGAATGCAACGGGAACACATCTCAGATCGCGCAGAGAATTCGCGTGGTCAGCTTCGCGCGTTAAAAGTGACGCGGCGACCTGTTGCTCCTTCGCGTTTACGCATTTTCCGCATTTTTCGGACACCATATAATAATTCACACTCGGTTTTTATGGTTACTATTTTGCATTATAACACAAGTTTTTACCGTTTGTTTAAATCGAAGATTTCTAATAAGACAGTATAAGATAAGACAGTAATGACATGAGAAATAATTTTATCTTCAACTCTTGTAATTTAACTTGTAAAGAAATTGTTGTGACGTCGTAATATCGTTCCTTCGCTTAACTTAACTGCCGTGACAAGGATATTAAGTCAGGAAAGAGCGGGAGGTGCGTTTAAAACGTAGGACTATCATGTTACGCTGCAAATCATTTTGCAACATAACGAACCCACATATGCATCGGTAATGGCATCGTGTCAGTAATTAGGCCCTCGTGTTCGTTAACGTGCAATCCGATTAATTCATCCGGTTTGCAAGACTCCGCGACAAAAATCGGTCGTCGACCGGTCCCTTTCGTAACAGCTGGCGTATACTACTCGTCGAGGAATCTTCCCTCCTGTTGCGAGCGTTTTGCGCGTCACGTTTCCGGCCATGCGGATTTCTCGCACCTGTCTGAGAGAGCGCGGGCGTGCTGATGAGCTCGCAGAATTAATGACACGCGGAAATTGCGCATCAGTTGCGTACTGATCTCGATAGGATGTCATAACTGCGAGCATACGGACGAGAAGTAGCTTTATCTACGAGTGAAATCCACGAAATTTTCAAGAAGTCGCACACAGAGGATCTTTTCTTAACTAGATGCCGGTTTTTAATATTTTTTATATTTTTTTACATTAAATATATATCTCGCTAAATAAAATGACACGTTAAAATGTAACTCAGACTCACTGGAATATTAAATGAAGAACAAGTATATATATATATACATATATTTTTTTTTTCCACTTGCACCTGCGAGCAAATTCCTTGGGCGGTTGCTTGTTGTACGAGCGACAATCAATTGCTTCACGCCTTTTTATTGCTGCTCGGTTTTACTAGCACGTGAACAAAATTAGAGCACTCGCTGTTCGTACACGCCACAAAAAACGATATATTATTCTTATCGTAAAAATATATATAGCCGTAACGGTTCGCTCTATTGCTCGGCTGATTGCCCTTGCTAGTTGAACGAACTATAAATGCTTCAAAGTCCGCGACACCGTGAAAAACGGTTCATATATTTACTGTACAGATGTCACGTAAATACATAATTACAAGTAATAGATGTCATTAGAGTTATTATTATCTTTGAACAGCTATTAGAGCATTATGTTGTTAGTCTTCATACACTCACACACACATATATATTTCGATTTATATATAATATTTTATATTATAAGTACAATATAAATCTCTTTTTGAGTCGTTATAAAATAAAACCTCAATGTTGCATACATACTGTAATGAAAAACATTAGTTAATAGTAATAGCAATCGAAGCTTTTATGAAATTAATGGGAGACCTTTTATTAAAGTAAAATTGTTTTACATATTATAATACGAAACTATTATTTTAAAAAATAATAGCATACAATTACGATATTAAAATACTACTTTTCTCTGCCAATATTAATCAAATTAATCAAATTAATTAATTACCATTTTGCTATAATAAGTATAAAGCAAATAAAGGCTGCTGTTTAGCTCAGAATTTAATTAACCTACATTTCTTGTGTGGGATAGAAATATATAGAAAGTACACCTCACCTTTTGAAATCTGAGTTCACACAACAAAACTTTTTTTATTAACTAATTTCCTGCGCAAATTTTTTTATAATTAAAGAAGAACTTTTGTACTATATCTTTATCTAAAAGATATATAGAATATTATCAACTTTTATTTAACTTAAGTCATTAAAGAGAGAACAATGAAAATTGAGATATAAATGTTGAGATGCAAAATACACCCCACGCAAGTAATTACGTTAAAAAAATATCACGCAAATAATGTAGGGTTAAACATAGGGTTGTGCATAGTGTAAATAATCTAAAACCTCGTTAATTTCTTTATAATCTTCGTATGTTTTATATTTCAGGTTTATGCGAGGTGGAAGCAGGACAATCGAATATCATCCTCGATATAGAAGAAAGCAGAGGAAATGGTAAATGTGCGATGTGTAAATTATTTAAATTTATCGTACATTAAACATTTTCATTAATTAAATCCATACGTATCCTTATTTGAAAGTATTAAATTTTAGAAATACAATTGATTATAATAGATTACAACTGAGAAACAAAACCCATTCTGTCATATAAGTAGTATAAGTCTCTATTTCTTGATATTTTCTACATCTTTCCATGACTATTTTATTATTTGTTTGAGACATAACATTATTTAGTAATTCTTTTTATGTCAGCTTGTTCCGTAACGCAATGAGGCATACGTGTATCTTTTCATCGTGGGAAAAGTTTTGTACTGATTTCTACGAGTAACATCTATTATTCTCCTATATTCGAGTCATTATATTTTTCCACATCGTAAATTGTGCCTCACTTGCCAACTGATATATAGCTGATTCGATCTCAGTTTCGGTTCATATCGCATTGGTCGTGTTGAACGCGGTCTCGAAGGTTTCGCGTTTACATTCGCAAATAGATCGTTTCCCGAGTCAGCGGATTTAGTTTTGAGATCGTGTACCGAATGTCACAATTCCGGCATCTCATTATGCGGAAATTACGTTTGGCGGATCGGTCGAGCTGACTGATAACTCTCGCAGAATCCACACGTCAACTCCTAGTATTCTCGAGGAAATCATGTTCCGATCCGTTGCGAGGATCGGAGTGACTCGCTTTCTCCGCCGTATGTATAATGCACGACGACATTGTCGGCGGTTCTATTTTGACGGAGAAATGGCTTCGTTATTGTATCTTGAACGAATGAATAATAAATGCCTTCCATCATAATGCATTAAGTCTTGAAATGATTGTCATATTCTGTGCAAAAAGAAACTAGAGGGAATAAAAGTGGAATAGAATTTAATCTTTATCCGTCACTCGGATTTATTATATTCATATCAGTTAATTTAAACTGTTCTTTAAAAGCAGTTAATGCAATTAGCGTTTCTATTTACCTTCGACATTTATATATATTTTCGTTTTCACGGAAACAACCATTCGATGTTGTCGCACACGCTACAAAGTAATCTGCATTTTATTAAACAATGTAGACCTTTACACAGAGAATCTTGGGGTCTAAAAAGAAAAAATCTATATATATATATATATATAGAAATAAGATGCTAAAACTCTCTGAATCCATTGAAATGAAGATTTGCGAAAAGCAAATTTAATTTAATCAGAAAATCTCTGAGACTCAAAGTTATATAAAAATAAGCGACGCTGTGCTAAATTCATTTCAAGAGACGACGTCTGACAGTATAGCAATAGAAAGCTTAATTAGTTCTCGGTAAAAAAAAAACAACAGTAATTACAACGATGAAGAATGACGACGAAAATTAGAGAAAAGGAATAGTCGAAAAGTAAAATAGTCAATACGTTGCAATTAAATTGTATTGGCTTTCATTAATGAGATACTGCCCGATCAACATATCAGCCCACCAAGATAGCATTCATTACAGAGAATGAAGACGGGTTGATCTTCGCTCGAGAGAGGAAGTGTTATTATACAAGTAATAAAACGATTTTCTCGAAATGGCTATTCATATCATCGTTATCGTGTTTCATGATTGGCTTATTCATAATTTCTTTTGCACAGGATACATTAATTAAAAATTTTAATTTTCGCTTTCGTTGATAATTTTCAATCTCATTGGCAATTTATAAATTGCAATTCTCCATAACCATAAAATGTATTATTGTTCACTTGATATCGCAAACAAACGATCGAGAATATATTGTCGCGCGGAGTTTGGTATATTTCCAGTTTATTGAAACTTCCATTTATTCGATGCCCCAGATATAAGATAAATCGTTGTGCCCGACGGTAATCGCTTTCGCCGGTTATCCTTTTTCAGCGATCGATCAGAAAACCGTGCCGGAAGAGCTTCCGGTGTCCGGCGATCCCTATAACGAGACTATGCTGGAGCTTATCTTCCCTGGAAGGAAAATTCCTCTTTTCAAGCTGAACGGCAAGAAACTGCAACTTCTCGAGCCGTTGGACAGAGACGACGAAAATCTCTCGCACGTGGTCTTTCAGGTAAAAACAATCTTAATCTTGCAAGATTACAAGAATCTGCTTGACATATTTAATTTGTAATAGGATTCGCCGTAATAGGCTATAACCCCGTTGCGGTTTCGTAAGGCTTAAAAGTGGAACAAACATTAAAAGATTGTTACGCGGATTATTATAACGGTAGCGCTACATTCTCTCTATATGCATATCTTCTTAGATTCCAATCCTCGAAGAACGAGATCACTTGTAGTTCAGATTTAATATGTGTGTGCTTTCTCATACTTGTATTTATGCACAGTAATTTATACACGAAACGGCATTTATTACGACGATAATCCTGACATTAATCCACTATTTTGCGCGCGAGATTGCTTTTGAATCTACATCTAAGAAATTGGACGAATTACATTGTGCGATCAAGTAAATGGAATGCGCTCCCATTATTGTGACTTTCAAACGAACGTACATATAACGAAAGATAATACGTATTATAATAACGAGGATGAAAATACTGCAGAGAGATAGAAGCAACTTACAGAGAAAGATATCATCATCATTCCTCTCAACTACAAATATTAGAAGGCATATAATAATAGCTTTCACTACCAAGGTGTCAATATTTCTTGAGTTATAGTCTTCACAGCTGCAAAAAATCGTATTGTTCGGTTCCTTTCAAGTGAATTTTTCCTTTTTATACTGACCATTAAACGTCTAAACGTCTAATTCACCTCACGAGTATCTAGCACTTTTAAGAACGATGCCGTTTCTTTTGCACGCAAAAACTTCCTCTGCTTCTCGGAAGAGGATCTCTTGTCCGCCAGTAAAATGTTTTATTATTTTCTTTGCCGTCAACGAGCTGCAAACTCACTGCGAAAGCGGAAGCTGGCAGCTTGTCGAGAACATTGAAAGGAAGTTACAAAATCCACAATAATTTTCTGCATTTGTTGTTAAATCGCGCAGCAGTTAATAGTTAATATAGTTTTATTTCTACAAAATTCAAATATAAGAAGTATGACTTTGTTCTTTAGAAACCAAGTTGATTTTTACGACACATTTTTTTCTTATAAATAACAATAATTCGTTTATATACAAGAATATATTTTTTCTTATTTTTTAGAAGTAAAGGAACAGTTTATTTCTTTTTAAAACAGAAATGCCTCTTGTATTAAATAAATATTCTTTTAAATATTTATTAGTTTATTCATTAATAGTTTATTGTTTATTAGTTTATTAGTTTATTAGTTAATAGTTTATTAGTTTATTAGTTAATAGTTTATTAGTTTATTAGTTTACGTATTCATTACATAAATTATACGAAAATAATTTGCTCGCTGATTACTACGCTCGCGATTCGAAGACGCCGTTCTCTCCGCCGACTCGTTCGGCATCCGCGAAACTGTAGGTACATGCACATTGTGCCTTATGACACTATCGGGCGAGGAATGTGAAAGGTCTAGAGTACCGCATCGAACACTTCAAGAACCCGTACTGATCAAACGGGTGGATAAGATCTAATGAGACCGAGAAATGTGCAGATAGATACAGAGATTAAGCTCGATCGAAGCAGAAATGCGGAGTGCATTTCGATTAATTTATAGAAATCTACTGCGAATAGTAATTAAATTGATCAAAATAGACTAATCTGAGTGAGACTAATTAATTTATTATTTCACTCGGTCGAAGGAACGTCGGTCGTTTCAGAAATAGTTTTTCACACTTTACCGCTCTTAAATATTAAATACAGGTGTTTAATAATAAGGATTACTTAATTTCTAATTCTGTAAAAGTTTAGTGTAGTTACATGATAATTATCTTATCTTATCGCAGCAATACTTTTTAGTTTATTAACTTTCTTTATATGTATATAAATCCTCTAATATATCCATTATTAAAATCCTTTTTATCAAATTTTCCTTTAGTAACAGTTTAGTGGCATCTAGCGTTATATGGACGTCGAGAACGTTGTCAAATTTTTATGTTTACTCTCCGACATGAATGTTCATTCGTTTTTCAGTTGAGTTGCACGGTGAAGTTGACCAACAAGAAGCGGACAATTCCGGTGATTGTGAGAGTGTCCGACATTAACGACAATGCACCGAAATTCATTAACACGCCGTACGAGACTACTGTGCCGGAGGTAAGAACTTAGACGAACCGTTTTTCCCCATAAAGAAACCTAGTTTTTCATCATCTTCATTTTTATCTCGTAATGGAATATACCTGTGCAACCATAAAACACCGCTCAATTATCTTCCGAGTCGCGTAATTAACTTCAATCAATAGTTTTTCTGTCGACACTGTGTTCCTCACGCTTGTAATAAAGCGAGCGAGATGCTGCGAGATTGGGCGCTGCCGGTGACTGGAAAATGCATTTTGTTTTAAGGAAGTAATAGAACACCGAGCGCGAAAATGCGGGCATAACGCGGTAATTCACGGCATGCGTTGCGCTGGAGTAAATTTATACTTATAATGAGTCGCGCTACGTTGTACGGGCATGCACGCGTAGTTGGAAATTTATACTTATAATGCGGGATGCGTGTTGTATAATTATGCGTCTAAATATGATGGACGGATAAAAGACTGCAGTTAACGCTGTGCGAAAGTTCGATAATTATATTCCGGCAAGATGAACGTTAATTGAGTGGAATTGTGTAGGACGAACATTGCTATTGAAATTACTATAGGACTGCGTCGAAAAATAATAGCGGTTGCGATGAGAAGTTAGAATTGCGCTGTCGACAAGTCATTTTCTCCTCCATGCATCGCGAACGCGGTCGTCGATTTCTCGATCGTGCTTCGCGTCGCGTCGCGACTTTCGTCGAGGCGCCGGACGTTTTCCACGTGTGACGGAATTTTTATAGAAATTAAAAGTGTGTCGAATGCTAGTCATCGACGCGCGAGTGTGGGCGCTCTATTATCCCGCACCATCGTCGAGTCAGCGTGAAGTCTTCGAAGAAAGTAGATGATTCGTCACGTCGCTAAGTGGACGAGAACTATTCGTAACGTAGCGCGGCGGGAAATCGACGGCCCTCGATGGTCGGTCAGAGCCGCGATAATCTTTTCCTCTTTTGCATCCGTGATCCGTTATGCTGAGAATGACGCGCGCCTTTTGGTGCCGGACGTTTCACATGGCATATTGAATAGATCTAAAAGGATAATTGAATGCAAGAAGAATAAATCATGCTAAGCTTTTCCAAAAATTAAATCTTTGTATCACGGAGAGAAAAATCTTACTTCTGTGGTATGAGCGCCTCCCATGCATAAAAAGCATAGCGCTTCCTTGCATCAAACGCATGAATTTGTCCGTTTAAGGCAAGGATAATATCCTACTTCATGCTTTAAACGGACAAATTCATGCGTTTGATGCAAGGCAGCGCTACAGCCGCTACATGCTTTTTATGCATGGAAAGCGCTCATACCACAGAGGTAAGATTTTTTTCTCCGTGATAGTCTTCCGATTTCCCATCCCGATCTTCTTTTCATTTAGTTAAATAAAATATAAATTGTTATTGGAATACAGGATCGCATTGAGACGATTTCGCGAAGAGAATCTTAACTTGCTCCGGATTATCGTCTAATTAACGAAGCTTTTGTCTTGGTTCTTACCGTGGAAACTGGCGAAATATCTCGGCGAGAGCGCAACCTTTGCTCCACCTGCCGTGCATAATTGCGGAATCGCGGGAGTTCCTCGCGCGGGGAGATCGAGTTCGAGATCGTCGGCTCGCGCTCGAGCTAATTAATCCGCAGTGAGAGCGGGTAAAACCGGTACTGTCGCGAGGACACACGCGAGAACAAGCGGTGATAATCGCTCTTGGGATAGCAAAAATGATTGCGAGCGCCGGAAACGGTCCACCTTCGCTTTCTTACCTCCGCTCGTTTAGCAACCAGTCAAAAAGCTCGCGGAAATTAGCCACGTTGCTAAGTAAACGAAGGGCGACGACTTCCTCGCTACTTCGTAGCCGTAGCTAACGACCAGGATTATTATATGTTTGAACTGTTTCCGTGGGAACGTCATTATGGTTGGCTTATTTTTAATCTTGAGGACATGCTAATTAACTCTCCTCTCTAGCTTTCAAGTCCCATATGAATATATTCCATTCACTGCTGTTACTCTTATACATTACATTTACTGCAGTTGAAATTAAAGATGTTGGATTAATTTTTAAAAACGTGTATGAGAGAAACTCGGTTTTATCGTTCCGTTTACTATATAATGTACGGAATTCGTAGCCATTTTACGTAGCCGTGGCGATTTTTATCGTAAAAGAACTATTTTTGAGATAGATACGCGGGTTAAGTGCAGTATTTCGAAGGAGGTTCCTGGTCCCGTTAGATAAGCGAAGATGTAACCAATATCGGCGTAAAGCAAGCAGGAAGAGCTGATCGCGCGTTATAAACGAGAATACCTTATACTTTCCGGTCGCGTCGCACGGTAGTCGCCGACTTATCTTACTGGATTAATCGGAAACGCGCGTGGCTTTCGCTGCGTGCAAAAAGCCGTTGAATTATTTTCGTGTAATTCCCAGCGAGGTCTCGCCCTGTATATCCTGTATAGATCCTCTCGCGCGCGTACCTACGTTGCGCCAACAACCTGCTCGGCCTGTTCCAACTCGGCGTGTTTTCCCGGTCGAATTATTTAACCCAACGACCGAGGGCTTGTGTCTGACCCCGGCGGCCTTCAATTAACCAGAATCCCCCTGAAACTGCGTAAAGCGCGCCGCATAAATTTAATCCCGCTCGATTCCGCGCGGCGGAATATAACATATATTGCCCGGGCGATTTCTCATCGCAGCTGGAAGCGCGGAAGGAAAGCTGCGGTTTTCATCTCGCCTCGGTGCATTTCCTCCTTGGCGCGAAAGACATGGATAAATTATTATATTGAAAATAATCTCCACGCGTTCGTTCGTTCGTTTTGTTTCCGCAGCTCACTCCGGTCGGCTCGACGATCTTCAAGAACATCGACGCGATGGACGCCGACGCCGGTGTCAATGGCATTGTCGAGTACTCGATCGCACCTGGTGACGGCAGTAGAATCGGCAGCAACGAGGGTGTCGGCCGCAACCGGATCACCACTGTCGACGGATACGGCTACTTCAGCATCAACCTGCCGCACCAAGGACAGGTCACGGTTAATCGAACGCTCGACTACGAAAGGACTCAGCGTTATCTCGTCACCATCTTGGCATCGGTGAGTTTCGACCTTGTGCTAATCACGTTAATTGATCGCAGCTATCGGAATTAGAAGCGAGTTTAAGTGAATCGATGATGTTGACGTAAGCGTTGAGATAGAGATGTAGATCTAGCGATCTAATGCAACGGTTCTAAGGGCTATAGCTTGAATTCGAAGGAGAAATACGATCGGTAGCTTCTTAAATAAGAACATTGTCTGATACGAAATAGAAAAGCAGAAAATTGAAAGTTTGTCTTGGAACAAAAGTTTACGTAGAAATAGTGTTATAATTTGTTCGAGATAATTATAATTTATCTTTATCGAATAAATATCTTCTTTCTACGAAAACAAAAAATTTTTTGTTTTATCTAGAATTTTCTAATCTGTCAGTCCAGTTCTGTTTACGTATCTTCTAAACATGTATCTTATAAATCGTTGGCCGTGTTGTCGTACGTATACCGTTGCGTACATATCTGTCGGGTATGATAATCGAGCATGATGAGCTCGACCAATGATATGTTGCGATTACGCTACGCGACATCGAGCTGAAAACCCGTACGACAACAAGAAGATTCTTGCACAAATAACGAGGAAATAACGGTAATCATTTACGATGTCTAGTAAATTACTGTGTCGTCTTTTAAGATAGATGATCAGGTTCAGTTCGAGAAATATTAGTATAACACAGACGGAATATTAATTTTGTGCGAAGAATAATAAAGGAATGCGATAAAAGTAAATCTTAGTATTTTATTACAGTCTATTTTGGTAGTAAAATTGCATTTCTATTGATGAAAAAATTTTTGTATCAATAGAACGGAACGAAAACTTTTGAACGTACAATAAAATTTTACAATTCGACAATTTTTTCTTTATTTTTCCTCAAAGATAAATCTTTCTATTGCAAATTGATCGGTAGACAAGACAGAATTCTTCGTGTTGTCCACTTCGGTGTATATATATCGTATGTATCATCCATGTGGTATTTACGTTATACGTAACTCATACTTCATACACCTGTTGCGACCGATTCTCGGTTGTGCTGCTTTTATTCGGTCGTTGCTGGCGTGCACAAGTAACATGTGCGTGTATACAAGCACTCTACAACGACGATCCGGAGCATTTTTAGCGCCGTCGCTTAAATCTCGGTATTCGGGAGAGCGCGTCGATTTTTTCATCAACCGCCTTATTCTTGCAGTTGCGGCTCTGCAATCGACGAACACGCGCGCGTGCTGGTGTAAGTCAATCGGTTTATAAATGCACGTGTTTCCTTAATTTAATACGCCATGGATGGGTACGAGGCAAATCGATGGGAGGATGTGGGATGGTCAATGGTCAGGTCGTGTGGGTCGAGGGATGGGGACAGAACGAGGGACTGACCGATGAGTCACAACGACTGACTATCTGTCGGAAAACCATATTTGTATTAGCATATCGCGCCTCTCCTTCACACGACTGCTTGTTCGCTTGAGTGTTATTAGTTCGGGCTTTCGAAGGCCCTCTCAATTCAAAACGTAATCTTACCTTTTACGATATCGTCATTCTTCACGCGAGCTTCTTTTTTATTTTTTACGGTTCGAGTTTGTCTCAAGATAAGTATACAGGATGTTTTTCAAGAAGATACCAAACAATTTAGAGATATACTATCTTGCAATGTCAAATCGTAATTCCTTTCCTGGAAAAAAATGTAAAATGTTTAAAAGTGCATAATTTTATACTTTCTTGTATATGTATACAAATTTTGAATTAATTCTGTTAATGTAAAGTCTGTCTGGAATTGATCGAAGAGAATAAAGAAATATGTGAAAATTATATAACGATCATCGCAGTGCCGTATGTATACGCAGTACAATTTCAACTATCTTGATTGCCCATTTATGAGAAATATTAAGGTCGATGAATGCAATATATGAGAAGCGACATACATTAAGGCAATATTCCTGAATTCTTTCATTTGTATTATCCCATAAGGAGGTATCTCAGCGGTAATTCACACGCGAACGTACCGCAATAATTCCGAGAGGACTCCAACATTCGCGCGCGCGCGTGCATAATTATATGCGTGGCGCGATGAACGCGCGTGCAACGTGCACGCTTCGTTACCGTGCACACACGATCCTCGTGTACGAAACACGTCTCGTGTGCTCTGTCGCAGATTAGAAACTGATATACGTACAGGCCTGATGCATGCAGGCGTGCATTTCGCTAAACGGTATTACAACCCGACCGGCAACGGCACCACGCTGGCCAGGTAGATGCGTGTTCGACCTTTTTCACGTCTAATGATTTTAATGGTACTAATCGATTCTGCGGTCTCGCACAAGTGCGCAAACAGCGCGCGACGGACAAGTCGTTAATTACAGTTACGCGCCCGGCTTAGATAATCCATGCGTCTAAGTAATTAATTACTCCTATCAATCGCGTATTTAGAAGCATGCTGCGTCGAAGTACTTCAAACGTGTACAAGTTTGTATAAAGCTGAGCGAATATTGCAGATAAACAAGGAAAATGTGAGGCTTATGAAGCTCTACGAGAGGTTTCAGGTTTTGTTATACCTTTTTATATCTTTACGAGTTTCTTTATCGATTTAAAATTAATTCTTCCTCAATAGAGATGCAGAGACAAAAATCACTAAATTATAGACGTGTACTCTTAAATTAAATGATTTTTTTATGTGATAAAATGTTTGTAAATGAAAAGTTACCATCTGATTGTGAGTTGATCGAAAAATTCGCAGATAAAAATAAATGCAGGAGAAATGGTATACCTTCTATATATTCCACGATATCTGCAGTTCAATGGGTATACTGGTGATTCGAGCCAACCAGAGTAAAGATAGTTTGCAGATAGCAACTCGACTATGCGAGTTGCGATATTTCCGATGCGATGTTTTCGCGCAATCTCGCGGTCAAATTCACCAGCGAAATAGCGAAAGGATCGCATGTAACGGTGCACACCGGTGCAGAATAACACAATTTTTCCGTTTGATACGTACGCGTGCGGTATCGTTCGCGGTACCGTAAGGCATTAACCGTTCGGCCCTCCTCCCTCCAGATTAGCTAGGCTATGGATCGCCGTTGCTTGTAGCTTGTAGCTATTTGCATATCGCCTCTGCCAAACCCGACATTGTTCGGTTTGCACAGGTACACGCGGGCCGTGCTACCGCCGGATTAGAACTCGCAAATTGCGCTTCTCGTATCCGGATCACGGAGCAATCGATAACGCGACACTTATCGGCCGTGTACGCACCGTAATCCGGACTTTCTACTGACGAGAATTACAGGTTGCAGCGTCCTCATAGACGTATCGCAAAACATGGCCTGGCTCATATTTAAACACTCATACACGGAGAAAATTTTATAGTAAATATTACTATGGTGTCGCACTAGCTGCAGACCATCGAAGAATTTTAAGTTAAATTACTATGTTTATGGTAAAAATTACGTTATTTAATCGTTTTTAAAACAATAATTATAGTATTTTAACTTGAAATTCCTCGATGGTCCGCAGCTAGTGCGACACCATAGTAATATTTACTATAAAATTTTCTCCGTGTATTTATTCATTCATATGTCAGGTCCGATTGCAGTGTTCCCTAACATATAATAAATAAAACCAGCGATTTTTTTGTCTGTCATCACACCAGAGATTATCAAATGAATAAATAAATATAATTAGCTAAAAACTTATATTTTATTTAAAAAAAAAAAAAAAAAGAAGAGAATAGTACTGGGCCAGTGCTTCCGCGTAGCGAATTTGTAGTTAAAGGTATGAATCTAGGACAGCAGATGCAAACTTTTTCTGCAAAAGGCTAGAACAAATATTGGCTTTGCGGGCCAAGAGGATATTATGTAGGTACTGTATAACCGGAGAGAAAACAAATTTCCACAAGCTTTATATTAATAAAGTTTAGATAATAATAATTTTAGTTATTCAATTTAATTTCTAGCAACAATAATATCGCGCGAGCTATACAAAAATAAGACTGGCTCGTAGTTTGCCGATCACCAATCTGGAACGAGAAGCAAATTCCAAGCAGGCGATGCAAGAGTCATTTCGATCGGTATATGATCTAGCAGCCGCGAATGCGACCGTTAACGCAATCGCTAATGGACCGCGCGTAATCTCGTCTCGCGTGAGTGAAAGTAAGATGCTCATTAGCGAATATCGCGTATTCACTAGACACCCACGCAATCGCGGCGCGAGATTGTTCGATCGCCGTGACGAATCGTCATAAGTGCCATGCGAGCGCAACGAGTATCGCGCAATGTAACGTAACGTAACATGCTACCTACGTGCGGCGCGCACACATACTACGGGGGGGGAGGGGGGGTTATGATAATATAATCAGGAAGTGATATAAAATGTCAAATCCACCGCGACCCGTACGCGGCGTATGGCGGAACAATACTTTGTAACTGTACAACGAACACCGTCTGCTTATATTCTTACGACGGTGCTTGTCGCGCCGCGATTATATTGCCACACACTCGCGGTGGTCGTGCTCCTCGCTCGCATTAAGAATTGTTCTCTACACGAGCTATTCACGTGCGAGTGGTTTTATGAAGCGAGGCAGTCGATAAGTCACTTCTGACGTACGACGCAAAAGTCTGCCGTCAGATAAAAACCGCGCGAGTTCGCATCGGCTGCGAACGTGGCATTTATGTTTTCATTTGCATCGGGCAGCCATGCATTTTGTTATTTATGTTAACACACGGAGCGGTTTGGACGGCCACGGGAGTTCTGGTCGGTAACTATCGTATATTTTGATTGGAATATTGCCGGCGCACCACTATATAATTGTGGCTGTTCAAACGCACTCCATAAACGACGATCTTATTTGAAAAAATTTATTACATTGGCTCAGCGTAATGAATATTTTTAGCAATAAATTTTAGCTCTGATGTTTATGATAATATGTAAAATGTTTAAACTAAATATACGGCAATAATTATTGACCATAGCGCAATTAACAAGGTTTTACCATAAAAATTATGGTAAATACAGTAAAGATATTA